CGGTCCCCAACCCGGCTTCGAAATCGCCGGTCTGGATTGTAGGGGCACTCCCTCCTTATAGTCCGTTATGCACCGGCGACCTAATGCTTTGGTGTCATCGTTTGCTTCACTTTTGCTGTTGTTCGTCTTCTTCATCAATTTCAGCTGAAACGTGTACGCAACATCTTTGCTGACAGTTTCGTCGCGTCTTCCACTTGAGACAATCAACTGTTATTAGGCATTTCAAAGTTATCTTCGCGAATATTTCTTAGTACCTTACGTATTCTAGAATATTTCAATATTATTCGCAGCTGCGATGAACAATACGTTACTGAAGCATTTGTAACATTTTCTTACTGAATTTATTTGTTGCCGCATCGTTTATTTAGATTTTTTTTTATATTTTCCTCTAAATCATGTACTGTATGTTTAGCATATTTTATGAGCTATTCATCCTAAATGGAAATAAATTTCCCGTTGATTTTCAAGGCGTGCATCTATTACTCTGTTGGTGGATTTACGATGATGCTATAATTTTACAAGGATCTGTCTCTAAGTGCTCGGTATACTCTGGAGACGGCTCTCGTCTCTAGAGTACTCTAGAGTGTACTCTCAATTAAGAGTACTCTAGAGTGTACTCTTTGAAAGTACTCTTAGAGAGTACGCTCAATTAAGAGTACTCTAGAGTGTACTTGGTCCGAGGTCGTGCTCAGCGCTGGCGCATGCAGGCTGCGCGCTTCCGACGGCGTTGCGTCATGCTTCAAGTGTCCTTTCCTGTTACTCAGTATATTTAGGGGGTCTCGTATGCTGTGCTATATTTTCTTAGCATGCTTTAGGACCTGTACTGAAGCTCATCGCTTAGTTTTGCTTTAATATATTTATATTGTGTTTTCTGTGCATTATGTATTAGCTTTTGTTTTTAGCACAATTTAGCGTACGAAAATAATAACTTTTCCTGAAATGTGAATTATTACAGATAATTATAAGTGGCTTCAGATTGACTTTTCACTTGTTTGAATGGATTGTTGACTTATATAATTTAGAATATTTTATTTTACGGTAAAATGGAATTACTTTTATTTTGTTACGTTAAAGCAATGATCGTTATCTGGCCAAGATTTTGTTAGTAGGGCGACCTGATGCTCCAAGAAGTTCCGCGTTTGAGGTTCAATTCGTCCGATTGTTGACTATGGTTTTATATTTATGTACTTTGACTAAGTATTTTCGGTTTGTCGTTTTTATGGTTTTTGAGATACCACTTAGTCTTCAGAAACCTATTTGCATTTTTTACTGTCTGTTGATACGCCCTCAACATAATCTTGGAGCCTAGAAGTTGCTGAATCATCGTTGTGTGGGTTACATACATTTTATCATGTAGGCAGGTCTGGAGACGAACGTGCACGTACAAAGCGCATCAAACGTCAGACGGTATTATTATCTGCAAAGCATATGCACATCTAATTTATTTCTTGTCATGAACTCATTTTGAAGAATTAGTTAGCACAGCTCATTGAAGATATGCGTGGCAGGCATTTCTGATTTCAGGAATGCCTGAGGTGTTGCTGCTGTGTCCTTGAGAGCGAGCGGCCAACGCCACATTGCAGAACCTGTTCAAGAAGCCTCGATGCAAACCATCGGCCTTCTTTCTGCCAGCCTGCGTCACCTAACGCCCATTAAATTCCAAAGAGACTGACAAAGAAAGCTGCCAAGACAACAAGAATTGAAAGACCTCAGTGTGCAAAGGCTTCAAAAACAACATCTAGCGCAGCATCAGTTCGAATCATATCACGGAGTATGTAGGCCTGTAATGAAAAATAGTCGGCTTCAAATAATGTTATGTTACCACACTAGTTCATCACTTACTAGTGCACTGCGACAGGGTCTACCTTTATTCACCAGTGATCGCTTTTATCATCTCTGCTATGGGCTTAGTTAGGGCTATGGCCGTTGTTCCTTTCCGACGGCTTTGGAATGCCGCTTCCAAGTCCGTGTCCTTTTTTTTCCCTGTACTGAGTTGACTCATTCCGGCGCCTAGGTTCGTTGAAAAAAAGTCAAACGTTTCCGTGAATGTTTCTTATGTGTACTCTCATTCTTTGTAAGTAGATCATGGACTGTATAGTATAAGGGCGTATATTTCTGTAAAACATCACCCAAATTTCTCATTTTCCGGCGAATTATTGTTTTTATAAACCCATTTCTCACGTTACGCGGGGCTTTTGTCAGATGTAATTACGTAACCATCTGATTTTAGTATACAAAGAGTACAAATTTTTTTCTGCCGTTCGTTTTTAGTTGCTGCGCAGCCGATTTTTCGTTCGTACTTTTGTAACGAGACCTTATATATTATTTTTATGCTACAGAAGCACGTCATTTTGAAAGTATTGCCTAACGCACTTGTTGAATTGCAGCGTGGCATGGCTTATCGATCGTATGAGCTTGGGGCTTTACCCAACCGTCCATGCGGGATGGCAGCTACTGACAACCTCCGCTCACCATGTGGCTTACGCGTGAAGCTGCTGCCTTCGTCGTCATACGGATTTCCTTGTGTCGACGCGAATATTCTTTCCCTCTTGCTCACGACACCGACTGTTGATTACAAACGTACTAGCAATTATCATATCCTTCAGTTGATAACAAGCTGCTTCAGATACACACTTGGTCCTTGTCAATAGATGACTCATGATTAAAGTCTACGCTGATTATATGTTAACTATTGCATGTAAATGATGTGTTACACTAACGTGTTTACCGCTGTTTGATTAATCTATAGACTGGTATTACCGGGATTTTTTTGGCATGAATCGTGATTTGTTAGGGAGTTTGAGCATGCGCATGACGTCATATCAGTTCTCCGTAAAATAGCAGGTGTAGAGACTTGGATGGGAATACTCCGAGGCAGTTGCTTTCCTGCGCTGGTGAAGTGAGCATGTGCGACGCTGCCTCTTACGTTCATTTGTTAGCTCAGCTGTACCATCCAATGACACTCTTGTACTTTATTTTTACATATTTTCTTCAACGTGGTGCAGAATGTTACGATGCAGTGTAAAGGAATAGGAACGTTTATATATGATGAGTGCAACTGTGTTGGTGTAAGCGCAAAGCTTGAGAAGTAGTGGGAGTCCCCCACAAAACCCCTATTATATAGCTGACTCTTCTCCTCCTAGCCTTCATTATATTGCTGATGCAGCATACTTCCTATTGCCGTTCTCGTTTCTTCACTTCTCTTACGTCTTTCAAATGTGCTGCGGTTTCAGGAGATTACCTATATCTGTGATTTTTGTGGTGATTCTAAAATGAATATTTAAATTCATCTAAGATTGTGAAATTGCAGCAACTGTCCAACCAAATTTGACGTTAGCTTTTACATCAACAACTTTCGAATTGTATCTGACATGAGGCAAAGGAAGTAAAATGAATTTGGGTATTGAATATTTCTTTTGTTAATTTTGTGTGGATCTATATAGTGCAATTTTTCTTTATTGTTAAATAAATAACTATTATTTCGAAACTTACTTCTGAAGTTGATAATGTATTACTTGAATATTTCATGACATAGCTTAGCTACCTTGGGAGATTTTCATAAACACATGCTGCTGATTTATTAGTCACAATTCAATCTATTTTGTGATATTTATTCTGCCTCTTTGATCATTGGTATGTCAAAAATGCAGAAGAAATGAAGTTAAAAGTTGAAGAATAAGTAGAACTTTTTAATAAAAGTAATCTTGTGTGAACAAAGCTAGCAATCACAGCATTTATCAATCCATGTGCTCACAGCTCACTTCATGTACATGTTAGGTTTTCATTTACTTTGCTCTCATATGTGAGGCATTTGTGCAATCCTGAAGCCATTAATGGGTGAGCTTAGATCAAGCTGGACATTAAAGGTTCATACATCTCTCTGTGTATCAGTTCTATGAACAAGATACAAAGACATGAAGAAAAAGTATTAAAAGATTTAATGTTAATGCATCATTCCCATTAATGCTTAGTATCAACCATGGTTCTCATTTGATTTATTGGGTTAATAATCTCTGTTCCTATAGCAAGTATATATAGAAGAAGCAACTTAAACAGAAGATAGTGCTAATCTTGGATAGTTTTGTGGCTCAATCTTGAACAAATATACTCTTTCTATAGGCTTGTCTAAGAATTTGGAACCTGTTCTTCCTACATCTTACTCATTTCTGAATGTTTTTATCTTGTTGCTTGGTTTTTGATTCAAAACCAAGCTCCTCGGGAATGAAATTTAATTTATATATTATTATGTATCAATGCAAAATTACTGTTTGAAATCATTACATTACATAAGTCTTCATCAAATTTCATTTTATCTACGGTATGTACTATCTTGAAATTCTCTTGGACTCAGTGCAGGCTTACAGTTGAGCCTAAATTATTTTAGCTTAATGTAGTTTGTTTACAAATCATTTTTGTTTTTTTCCTTGTAGGGGAGGAGAGAATATCTTCATGTGTAAAATTAAGTAAAATGAGTGTACCATACAGAATATCGTTCAGGAAAAAACTTTTTTTTCCTCTTTGTCGCAAAGATGCCATAAAGACTACAGCCTTTATCCACACACAGTGCTTGAGTATAAATGATAACAATTTCCCAGCTAAGCACAATCATTTGTCTAAAATTTCATCCTTGTTAAGAGTCCAACTGTTATGTGACTGCTACATAATTGCATGTCGTGCATTACAAGCATACAATCATTGTGTACTTTTAACTTGCGTTTCTGTGTCTGAAACTGTACAAACTTGTAATTATCTTGCAATTGTTTCGATTATTCCTAGAGCCTGACGCGTCCTTCTCAAACCTGTTCGCATTGCATATTTTCTATTCGCATTGCAGGCATCAAGTCATTAATCTCACATAGACGCTCTTTTCTCTATGTGTACATTTTCTTGGAACTTAGATTTTCTTATTACAAAGCGAATCTTCAATTAAAAATTAAAGTAATTAAATTATAATTATCATTGAAATTGAAGTGATAACATGCGTGCCTTTTTTTGTGCAGATTTCGATGCTAAGTTGAAAGCCTTTCTAGGAAGTTACTATCTTGGCAGAAATAAAGTGTCAAAGAATGCACTGTTTGCGGATGTAATTATAAAAAATAGTGATTTACAATTACATTTAAAGTTTCTTTATGAGTGCCAGTTCAATTACAGTGATTATTGAGGTGTTTGAGGCCGTGCCTCTAGTGCTGTGAATAAGTGTATCTTTTAGGCAGTGTTTGAATTCTACATCAACCGGTTTACCAGAATCGTCAAACTGCTGCTCATCTCGTCTGTCCGTCGTCAACTCAAGAACACTTCTTTTTCTGTGAGTATAATGCCTTGAAATACCGGTCGGGTTGCTGACTTAGCAAATTATATGAGCTATGTCGCTACTCTTATTCAGAGTTGTCAATGTCTGGTTGCAAGTTCGTATTTTCTGAAGATCATGTGATAATTTTTGAATTCGTTTAAATATCAATGTTTTTATAAGTTGTAGCTAGTAGTTGATTAAAGTTTCCGCTTGTTATTAATTGCGGTGTGTGCGGCCTAGCGAGATGCAGCCTGTGTACGCGTCATGAATATGAACGAAAAACTGGCAGCTACTTTGTGTGTATAATTCTGACAAAATTACTCAGTTCAACATTGAGACGAAATTCGAGTCGACTGATATTAAGAATTTCTATTGATCCAGTGCGTATTTTGAGCGATTGATTGCTTAGTGTAGCAATTCGATTATGGATATACGATTCGTTACAATTCTTTGCAGCGTTCTGTGATGAAGAGTTTTTTTTTTCAATTCAAACTCGTGACCAGTTTTTTTGCGCTAAAGTTGACTTGATCAAATGTCACGAAAGCAAGTTCAAATTTTTATTTTTGAAATGACAATGAATGCACTGTGAGACATCAAAAATGACAATGAGTGCACGCTCGTAAATAGGATAAGTTCGGTCATTTTTGCATTTTATTTCTTAATGATATTTCTTAATAATTATTTCATTTATCGCGACGAGCAGGTTCGTGAGCGTGATCTTTTATATTGCCAAAGAAATTGTGAGTAGTTTTACAAGGTAAATCGAGGATTTGTTGGCAAATCGAGGGTAGGTCTTGGATATCTCTTGGCCGCTCTTGCCTTACCTCTTGAGGTGCCAAGGTTCTGTGTGCGTGTGCCAAGTCGTGGTGGCTTGCGTTCAATTAAATTATAATTATCATTGAAATTTAAGTGATAACATGCGTGCCTTTTTTTGTGCAGATTTCGATGCTAAGTTGAAAGCCTTTCTAGGAAGTTACTATCTTGGCAGAAATAAAGTGTCAAAGAATGCACTGTTTGCGGATGTAATTATAAAAAATAGTGATTTACAATTACATTTAAAGTTTCTTTATGAGTGCCAGTTCAATTACAGTGATTATTGAGGTGTTTGAGGCCGTGCCTCTAGTGCTGTGAATAAGTGTATCTTTTAGGCAGTGTTTGAATTCTACATCAACCGGTTTACCAGAATCGTCAAACTGCTGCTCATCTCGTCTGTCCGTCGTCAACTCAAGAACACTTCTTTTTCTGTGAGTACTAGCGCTTTGAAATACAGGTCGGGTTGCTGACTTAGCAAATTATATGAGCTATGTCGCTACTCTTATTCAGAGTTGTCAATGTCTGGTTGCAAGTTCGTATTTTCTGAAGATCATGTGATAATTTTTGAATTCGTTTAAATATCAATGTTTTTATAAGTTGTAGCTAGTAGTTGATTAAAGTTTCCGCTTGTTATTAATTGCGGTGTGTGCGGCCTAGCGAGATGCAGCCTGTGTACGCGTCATGAATATGAACGAAAAACTGGCAGCTACTTTGTGTGTATAATTCTGACAAAATTACTCAGTTCAACATTGAGACGAAATTCGAGTCGACTGATATTAAGAATTTCTATTGATCCAGTGCGTATTTTGAGCGATTGATTGCTTAGTGTAGCAATTCGATTATGGATATACGATTCGTTACAATTCTTTGCAGCGTTCTGTGATGAAGAGTTTTTTTTTTCAATTCAAACTCGTGACCAGTTTTTTTGCGCTAAAGTTGACTTGATCAAATGTCACGAAAGCAAGTTCAAATTTTTATTTTTGAAATGACAATGAATGCACTGTGAGACATCAAAAATGACAATGAGTGCACGCTCGTAAATAGGATAAGTTCGGTCATTTTTGCATTTTATTTCTTAATGATATTTCTTAATAATTATTTCATTTATCGCGACGAGCAGGTTCGTGAGCGTGATCTTTTATATTGCCAAAGAAATTGTGAGTAGTTTTACAAGGTAAATCGAGGATTTGTTGGCAAATCGAGGGTAGGTCTTGGATATCTCTTGGCCGCTCTTGCCTTACCTCTTGAGGTGCCAAGGTTCTGTGTGCGTGTGCCAAGTCGTGGTGGCTTGCGAGCTTTTGTGCAAGGCTCCTCTAATTAACCTGCTGCTCACGTGCCTCCATTATGCGCTTCTCTCAAACACTGAGACTTTGCCGCTTGAAATTCTCTTATGATTTTTCCAAGTGGGCCTCCTGCTTCATCAAGGTCATGTGTAATTCTGTCTCAACATTAGTGAAAATTTTTCTATGTCAGGGCTATTAAATCAATGCAAGCGTATACTAAATTTTTTGCGCGTGCGAGATTTTTTAATATTGTTGTTAGCCGAAATTAAAGCCTCTCCAAATAGAACAGCGCGTCACGCGGTGGAATTAACCTCGTCTTTGACTGCGCTCTGCATTGTTGAAACTTGAACGACCTGCCATGATAAGTGTGATGCTTCTCCAGACTAAGCCTAATTGGTTGGCATTTCCAATTACCTTATTGGAGGTATGCCAAGTGCTAAGCTTGTTTTGCTTTTAAAATTTTCACCATGTTACTCTTTTGCAAGGTTTGCCTACAAATTTACTTTATGCAGGCTCAATTGTGTGAAATTTGTCGAGTATAATAAATTGCAACAAACTTGGCCGCTCTTGTCAGTTTGAAAGACAATAATTCGTCAAGCGAACTGTTGAGCGTTTGTTGCGTAGGTGAGGATTTAAATTTCTGTTGTGAATTTGACCATAGTTATATAGTTATCACGTGGTCTTGCTTTGATATCTCTAATTCGTACTTCTTCAGCGAACAATTTGTCGAGTCATACCTTGATAAAGTATGCTGCTTATCATGGCCAAATGCTGCTGTGGTAGGAAATTACTTATCTCCAGAATCATCCAATCTATGATTTGAGAGGCAAAATTTGTCTCCAATATATTCTTCTATTCCTCATGAAAGTACATTTATTATATTTACATAGGTACTCATGAGCCGATAGTTCATGCGCAGTATTGGTATGATTATTTTATTTTTATTTTTGTTACGTGCATAACTATTCACCAACGCTGACCAACGCAATACGCAGCCATGATTACGCGCAATTGGTTTCTTGTAGTCTCGACAAGCGCCTCTGAACGAGCTGCGTTTGCTGCTGATTCAAGAGGTGGTCGAGTCTGAGCCTGGCGACGTAGAATGCTATTGCGCGCCTTATCGATTGCTCTACTTTCTCAAATAGTATCCCTCTTTGTTCATTTCATACATATCAATAGCGAATCAAGTATGATGAATATCCATTTTTACTGTGCGAGGGGTATTGGCTAGTTTTGAAAGAGGATGTGTTGAATAACGTATTAATTTATATAAAAGCTGATACTTACATACGTGCTTTAGTCTACTTTAATGGTCATTTCCTACAAAAAAAAAATCGTTTCTAAACTTGAGGTTCTCGGGGACGAGCGCCTGTCTTGTAATATCTTGCCGTATTACCCATTTTTTACATTTTTATGAATGAATTTCATCATGAAACAATATTCTGTTTTACCCGCTCTTCTCGATCACGTGCTGCTCTAGATCTAGAACTATAGTGGCGGCGTCGCGTTCATAAGAGGCGCTCTTGTTGGAAACTGTGTCAACCTCGATGATATTACTGAATGCGTGTTTTGACCAATTCTTAGTAGCACGCTGCACGATTCACTTGACTGCGAAAGGGTTTTAAAATCTTAGCGGCGTGACAGTTATATTTATACATAATTTATAAGTTTAAAGTAATGGAGATAAGTAGAAAACTGTCGTGGGCATGAATTTGAGATGTTTCTATATTATATAGAAATACAGAAGCTCAGTTAAACCCTCCTCCTAGAAATTTCATACAGTTAACTGTGTGAATTTAATTTCTCATTTCTGTTTGTTTTGAATTATTCACTTCTCATTTAGGAGCATCGTATTGCTTGACCGCTGGGTCTCGATGCTCACTGTCAAATGACTTCTTATTGCGTGATATAGCTGCTAAAAAAGACCCAAATTAATTGCGAATGTGCGACGCGCGCCTGGTGAACGCCTTGTTCTTCTATTCCTTGTTTGAGATTATACTGCTTGTCTTCTTGGCCGTATAACTGCGTGTCGTATGACTGTATTTCTCTCATGCGTCAATGTTTTTTTCCTGAAAATGACATGAAAAAAAATTGGGCAGGTCTATGACAGTTTTCTGATTCGATGAAAACTTTGCTGTCTCATAGGGATTGAGATATGTCCTTTATAGTCACTGAAATTTATATATTGCCTAGTGAATACCGTACCGTGAATTTGAAGAATTTCGTGTTTAGAAAACGAGCGAATTTTTTTAGTTGCAATCATTTAGATCCCACGAATTTCGTTTGTATCCCGAATAATCACTGGACGATCATATTCACAAAAATTAATGATTATATTAAAAAGAGTAGAAAATACTTGTTTTACAAGGACGAGCAATGTCTGCGCCATATATATATACCTGCTGAATTTAAAGCTTGAAACGATTTTTTGCCGCATTTTTTCCTCATAGTAAATTGTTTATGGTAGACATGGCCTGCATCCTTCATTGTTGTACATACCAGTTATGCATATTTTACTGCATTCTTGTTGCGTTTTTCAATGCAGTAAACATATTGTTAGAAATATAACTCTCGATTTACATTCATTTAAATTTTTGTGACATAATTAATGATATTTTTGTTTCTTTGTCGTCTGACACATTAGCCGTCATCAATGCGTTTCGTATTAAATGGTCAATTAAATGTACCTTTTCAGTAGTGTAACGGTTACAATTGTGCACCAGTGTAAAAAATTTGGATTATTGTTTGTCATGAAGGGTTATTGATCGAGTACCGTACCGTCACAAACAAAAAGTCGCGCGTCTGAAGTGATCGCAGGTGTGCATGTTGGCACGAACTTGCACACCTGATGCATTCAATCTTTTCAATACTGGTCAAATGTTTTTCTCTTCCCTCAAAAACTGTATGTTGTCATGTTTT